CAATGATTCACGATTCGTGTTGCACGTTACGATTTCAGCACGATACACACGTACGGGTCGACACGTACGTATGACGCGGGTAATAACGCGCGGACCGGCGCAGGCGGCGAGTATGTCTCTCTCTCTCTTTCTCTTACGACACGTTTTAATCCGTTCTCTAATTAGCCGCGCTTCCTTCTTCGCGTACAGCGCGTGCGGCTGGAACGCGGCCATATTTTTCTTTGCCCGACAATTCGAGAGGCCTCTGCTATAAAAACGGTATTGTCGCGCGCACGTCGGTGCGCACCATCCTATCACGCGGGAACTGAAAGCGGTGCTTGGCTCTTGGACGCACCGGGGGAATGACTAAGACGCGAGAACTGTCCTATGTGGTTCACAGGCCCGTCAGACATACGTATAAGCGTTCGTTGACCGGTAATTACGATTCGCGAGGGTCGGCGTACAAGTTCTCTGTCTCTCCCTCTCTCTTTCTCCCTTTCTTTCTTCCTCTGTACCAAAGGGTTGCACAATGACAGACGTCCGTTTTTCTCCATCGATCCCGGGCACGAAAGTGGACGAGACACGCGGACACGTGGGAACGCATTGACATCTACTTAGCCCGGTGCACCTCCGGCGCGCGCTCTGCCCGCCATCGAGAGAGAGAGAGAGAGAGAGAGAGAGAGAGATCGATTAACGCGATCTCGGGCCGCAATTGCGCGCCGTGCGTGATCACGCTCGCCACGAAAGCGGAAAGTGAAATAATTGCCGCGGCGCAGCCAGCGCAGATCCGACCTGTCACTGTCGAAATAAATTGACGATTAAGTAATTGCCGGGTTCAGATTCGACTCTCGATCGGAAGAGAGCAGAAAAGCCGCCGCTCAGCTCGAGATCGCTCGGCCATTAGGTATGCACGATCGGGCGATATATCGCAATCGCAGGAACACGCGGAATTGTGCACGTATCGTGAGACGGGATAAGATCGCGGAGCGACACGGATTGCGCTTCGCGTCCCGATAAAGAGATTTTAGACGACCGAGATTAATCCTGTGACAGTAACATGTTAGACCTATGAGGTCTGCACGCATTTTTTTCGCTTACCCCCTCTTTCGTGTTTCGCGCAAGACGCTATACCTCACTTCTGTTTCTCTGTTCTGTTCCTCCACTTGGGAAAAAAATTTGGATCCATATGACCACTGCTGTTCAGCATGATTCAATGAGATAATTCATTTCTTGGCGGCAAAGAGTCTAAATAAAGATAATAAGTAAAAATTGTTGATAAACTTAACCCTCGCAAGGAGAAGTGGAGCAGCAGGACGCCTTTACGCGGACGACGAATGTACTTTCGGAATTTATTACCTGCACACGAAACCTGCGTGATCACGAATACCACTTCGTTAGACGTATTTGGAAATTAGTGGGAGGTCGAAGCACGGCGTGTTATGCGTCAACTGTTATTACGCGGTATGTTAAACGTACGGTATAGTTCACTGTCCGCGCACATCTCTCCGTTCCTTTTTCGTAATTCAACTCGGTCCTCCTCGACTTTCGGCCGCAGTCTAGGGTCATCACCGCCCACGGCACGAGGACCGACCTGTATGAATGAACGCCGGAGAGCCGAAGGAACCGCTTTTTCGAGGGTGCTCACGTGGCCGTCACGTGAACCAGGCACTCCCATTGTCTGCCGCGGGGTGAAGGTGCGAGCACATGAATGTGCAGGTAACATAATGCATTCTTACGACGTACACACACGCACACACACACACATTCTATCTCCGAAACGTGAGTGTGTTTGTGGCAGGTTACGACAACGGTGGCTGAATATAAAAAAGCCGAGGATGTAAAAGGCGCGATAGGAGCGAGGAAGCGACGTCGGTGCTAATCGCGGAAGACGAAGAACGCTATGACACGCAGTGTCGTGTCTCGCTTCCTGTCTTCGAAGATAGAGTCGAACATACTTCGAGATTGCAAGAGAAAGAATGAATTGAACGCGTTCTAATCTTAGATCTCAAAAATCTTGATCATAAAACCGAAAGAGCATAGTGAAATAGGATTTTTGTTACTTTAACTATCCATAGTTATGCAAAAGGGATCCACATGGAGTACGTTTTGAGAAAAATGAAGATGAAAATTTGATGCATAATTTGATACAAAAAATATAAATAGCACTGAGGTACTTCACAATCGTTCAAGAAGCCAAGCATGGTCCATTTTCTTCTCTTTAAGGGTATTCATTGACAAGCTTAATCCTTAAAAATGAGTAAAAAAGACGCAACTAGCAAAAAGTAAAAACTGCTTTTTAATTAATTTTAATAAGGCTTGAATCTTTTCGTTTTATATAGAAAAACGTATAGATATCCATTGGCAACGAAATCGTAAAAATCATAATTTTGTGGGTTGGATCCTTCTTGCATAATTATAGTCAATTTTGCTCGTCGAAAGATGCATTTATAATATGTATTAATAGCGATCGAAAAAACTCGTCCATCAATGTCTTCTTCGCGGAAGTACCGCCGTTATATTGCTCGAGAGTAAATAGGAAGTGAGTCTAGGAAGCGAGACCACTGTCGGCACGAAGATACGGCTAATTATCGTTAACGGCGACGAAACGGCGATGGAAGAAGGGCAGGTTCTATTAATTGATCAATAGCAATTTGCCAGGCTGTAAAATGGACCGCGGGTAGCGCCGGCGAAATGTGAGTCGAGGGTGACTGGAGGGTGCCGAGGCAAAAACAAACAAGCGGAAAGCGAGATGGTCCGCCACATCCGGGACGGATCGTTCCTCGCGATCGTTTAGCTCTGTTTGCTTTGACTTCGTCGGCAGACTGCGCCGTTTCGCCGCTACCGAGGCTCCATTATGATCGCAGAGCTATATTGCCTTTTAAACGCCAGTCCCTCTTTCTTCCCCTCGCCCACTTCTCCTCCTATGCTAGTCCTTTCGAACGAGGAAGAGATGATCCGGCCCCGCTTAATTTTACGTCCGTTGTCGCGTTATGCGCACGCGAATACAAACCAGAGTGCATCGTCATTCGAATGTGATTAATTTATTATGCGGTATATAAGACTTATGACTTATGCGAGTAAACTAAGTCCCGGGGGACAGTGCACGAAAAGGAAGGTCTAATGGTGTGTTCCTGTTTCGTTCGAAGATTAACAAAGATATATGATTTCGCTTTCGTTATAGAGTCGGTAGAAGTTCCAGGCCCTCATTAAAGCCTCGCGGCCATCGTGAGCTCGCTGTGTTGTAATTAGAACGAACTTGTTTTCCATTTTGTTGCGGTAATTTTCGCGTGACAGATTGCTGTACGTGTTCGTGTCTCCCGTTCATACGTTATCTCTGCGTATCGTGTTATCTAAGATCCGCTACGGTCGCTACCGTTGTGCATCGAAGACACCTCCTACGCTCCAACATCGCTTATGAGCTTACTTTCGGACGGCGATCAAAGTTAAGACAAACCGATGTAAATTTGGAAGCGTATTTAAACATCTGACTAAAACAGTTAACTTCAGTCTCAAACTTGCGTATTTCTAAATTGTTCTCTTTTCAGAACACCAGAGCTAATTTCTGAATGTAAAGTAGAATGTTGGAGGAAAAATAAATGCCCCGAAGAATAAAAACGAAGAAAAATATCGTAAAAGAACTTGGTCCTAAAGAGATAGCACGGAAGTTCCGATACACGCGATTATATCGATCGGAAGTAAAAGTTGCCTAATTCTCAATTCAGGCGGGACATTTAAATTTAGTTTAAATCACGACTTAGCCATCTTAAGTAGAGCAGGAAGTGTAACTTAACGCAGAAATTTCTTTCGTCTGCGATAATACTCGATTAGAGTATACTTGCTGCCCACGCACGAGGCCGAATTAAACCTTAATCTCGGCCTTTCTCACCGAGTACCTCAAATGTCAGGCGTGCCATTAACATCTCCTCTTTTTCTTCCAGTCGGACCGACGGAGACAATACGCGTCGTGCCTTTTCGCCAAGTAATGCTCGCTCATTCGCTCGTTCGCGTTCGCGAGGGGGAACTTAAACGATATTAGAATTCCTCGAAGGAAGCGTGGGAGTTACCTTAATTCTGACGCACCCTTAATTCCGCCGGCGGCGCCGGGACACGCCTAAAAAGTAACATCGGAGGAACACGAGATGCACACGCGGTGATCCAGGTGCGCTCGGCCGGCGCGCGTCGTTCCGACCGTTCCGACCGTTCCGGACGTTCCATTTCGTCGTTTCACGGCGCTTGCTCGGAGCGGCAGCGCGGCCGCGAGAGCGGGCGGTTGCGTGTGTCGCGTGTCAGTTATATCTCGGCAGCGAGCGCCGGCGGGCGCACGGGGCGTGCTTTCGCGTGAAACACAGAAAATCCTCGCTGTTAACTTTACCGACGACACACAGCGGCGAGAAGTCGGACGATTTTTTCCCCCCGGCGACGAGGAGGCGATCTTCCCGCCGGAAACGCGCTCCCGATCGATCGTTCACAAAGGCGCTTCGATCGGTGTGCCCCCCTCCCCCCCCCTCTTCCGTGGAGGAATCTTGATCGGAGGAACCACCCTGTGTTGCCGGGTTCGTCGAGTGAAATTCTGCTTCTCGTCGTCTGCCTGACAATCGTGCGATGCACGTTGGATTACGCAAGATACACGAAAGTCATCGGTGTATCGTCACCGAGCGAGCACGACGATTCGCTGAATCGTCCGCCGACAGACGTGAGTGACACAGCTTGCAATTGTAGGCTCGAGTCGCCGGTGGTTAGGTACGAGTCACGTGGAACACTCGGAGGAGATCGTTAACGTGGTTACCGCGCGGACGTGCGAATCGCGCTTCCTCAAGGACGACGAACGGTGAAAAGTGCTCACTCGCGGCTGCGGCTCGCGCGACAATCGAGTTTTTCCTCACAAGAACGTATCACGCGAGGCGCGCGCGCCCACGTGATCCTGCGATCTCACCCCGCAGCGCGCTGCCCCTCACGGCGGGATTGGACGCGAGCGAAGGTGGCGCGACCCCCCTGCCAATTGCGAAACTCCAGTTCCGAAACGCTGGCTCCGCGCTGGCGCGCGCGCGCGATTTTCTTTGTCACTCGGTAGCCGCGCGAACTTCGTCACCGATGACGTTCGATTCAAAGGCCGCGGTGACGCGTGACGAGGTCGTCGCGCATAAACTGTGATTCGTAACGGCACGCGAACGTCGATCCCGCGACTGGAAAGACTCACCGAGCGGGCGGGCCGATCGGCCGGCTAGGTTAATTATCGCCTGTCCGACTCATCGACTCGCGGGTACAATTCGCGCGGCGCACGAAGTCGTTACCGACGTCCTGAATTTCAACACGACTCCGGCCCGACCCGTGATCGTCGTGTAACCGGCTGTCGTGATTCCGCGATTCCCAGGAACTCACTCGTCGTTGATCGATCGACGATCACGTCCGAAAGATCCGACGAACGGTTGCCATGATGACAGGTTAGTTACTGTTGGATGAACAATCTGTATGCATCGGTTGCGCGTGAAGTTGCCGATGTAGACGTCGCCAGTTCACTCGCGACGCGACGTTTCAACGGTCATCGTCACGCGACTCGCAAGGACGCCGCGTAATCAGTCGTTGATCGATCGGGGATCCGACGGTGGACGATCCGTGAATTGTAACGAACGAGAGTTCGCGAAAGTCGGGCGGCCTTGCGATCTACGTGTTCGCGTGCGCGATGTGTGTGTGGCTTTTTGACGATCGAACGATTCGCGAGTGGAAGGACGAACGTCGTCGTTAACGGCCGACATTTTGGGGAAGACGGAGATCCCGAAGACGACGGTAGGACTCGAGACGGCGGCGGCGATCGTCATCGTCACCATGGCCTACGTGCTTTGGCGAGTGATCATGAAGAGGTACTCCAAGGTGCGGCTGGGCATCAGGAATCTGCCGGTGAGCGAATCGGTCGTTGGGGTTATTCGCAGTCCGCTCAGTCGCATGCGCATTTCACGCCTCTCGCGCGCACTTTTGCCCCTTTTTTCCTCCTTCCTGGCGGCGCGACGTCGCGTATCGCGCGTTTTTGTTTCCCCTCTCTTTGTGAGCACAGATAGTCTGTGGAAAGTGACGAGACAGACGTATTGTGCGTGCATATATACAGCGTCTGCCTGGCTTTCTTTCGAGCCCACGGCGCTGAATTTTCAAGAGAGCCCGATACCGTAGATTATAACCCTTTAATTGAAGGGGAGAGAGCGTAATAAGTACTCTTTCTCTTCTCTCCGCGCGGACTTGAAACAAATAGATTGAAAAGAATGAATAATAATAACACCACCACGAGTGTGGCTCTCTCGAAACGTGTCTGTACGCGAAGTAAGGGCTGTAGCGATCATGCCGGACAGACGGTTTTTGCGTTTTTTGTTGATCTCGCTCCTACTACAACAATTATTGTTAACAAGAGATAATTACGCAAATGGGTAGATCAGGTTACGAACAACACTCATGAGTGTGATGTGTGTAGAGTGTAGAGAATCGGGTAGAGAGCGGCGAACTGCGTTCCGTTTGAAAAATATCGGCCAGCGGGAAATTAGCTGGTGATCCGTCATTCGAGGTTGCAAAGTCACGAAGCGTCATGAATTGAAGATGATCAATGAAAGCGACTTGTTTTTAACCGAGCTCATCGGCGTATTTCAAATAATTCACGTCGATTTCTGTCTCTGTAACTGTTGTATTCATCGTGTGCTTGTTTATTCATTAATCTTTTTTCCTCACTTCTGTATCTCTCCGTCTCTTACTTCATTTCTAAAAAGGACTGTATGAGTCATCTTCGGCTCTACGATCGATCGGCGATCTGAGAGCAGTCCGATACTGTGCAGATGCAAATGCGAGATGAATGCGACCGCGATATACAGGCGTGCAAGCATCCTCATGATCGTCAATTGGAATTTTACGACCGTAGCTAATACCGGATAGCCGGTACGATCGCAGCAGCGATCGTATGGATTATGCAATTAGGCGTCGCGGCCATGCGTTCGGTACACGGCGGCGGAAACGCGCTTTCAATTGATAATTACAGCTGTTAGGCGTCTCTTCCGCGCAACTTGAATAATGCGCATTGCGCTTTATTTATTTGATTTCTCTTGTGCTCCTCGATTTCCGTTTTGAACAAATTAACATACAATGTCAGCAGGGACTACTTTGGTCAATGAAGTTACTCGTTACTTGTGTAGTTTTAAAAACTAGTTTTAGTTCCGGCTTTCTCCCCATCTTTTCGCGGATCTCTTCAATTTTTGACCGAAGGTACAAAAATTCGTTTAGAAAAGTTCACGTTTGATTAAAAACTTGCTACATTTGCTTTTTTTTTTAAATTGAATTTTTTCCGTGAGGAAGGTAAAAAAACAAAAGAGGTGCGCGGGATAAATAGGAAATGGCGGGTTTTTTTTCCCCAGACTTTAAAACTATGATTATTTATTATATTTATAACTTCATCCTTTCTCTTTATAGCTGCGTCAAATCACATCCAATAAATAGGGCATTTTCGCTCAAACCTGTTCGAGCGGAGAATCGTGTAACATATTAATAGATATTAATAGATCTTATTATATTTTTGTATTCACATCATTATTCATATCTCTATATATAGATTTCTCATTTCTGTCTGTGAAATTCAAAAACTGCATGAAACTAACCTATGATATAAGGATTTGAACAAGGCGTTCACTTTTAAATGCCGCTGCTCTTCGTTCAGGAATTTCGTAGATGCAGAGATCGTCGAGTTTTGCCCGCGGGTGCTTTTGACTTTGTTATTTCAATTACAAATCAGGTAGGCCGTTTTCGAGTACCTACCCGAAGCTATTATCGGCCGCACACGACGCGCGCAATGCGCGCTCTTACGAAGGTCAGTGCGTCGTGGCGCGGTGCAATTATTAGACTGCAACTGCGGCTAATGCGAACGCGGTAATTGGATAATTATGGGCGTGCTGCCGCGTCGTTGCGCCTTTTCCAGCCTCTTGTACCATCATCAGTGTCGGCTCGTATCGATTTATCGCGATCGATCGGATGGAAACGCGCTCCTCGATCGTTTCGATCGGAAGCACGAAGTCTTCGTCGGTACACGAGAAAAAGAAAGAAAGTTTCCGCGCTTTGATATATACCACGCAGGCAACCTTATTTATTATCTTCAGTCAAGTCTGCCCCCGTTTTCTAGATCGTAACTCGGATTACAATGTGAATCGCGAGAAAACGATAAAATTTAAGAGCGCGCTTAGCGATAAGTAGGAACACCGGGAAAATGTCTATATTACACCGCGGTGGTATACAATTTTTCAAAGAGTTTAACGACCCGTAGAAAATATTAGTTTTCACTAGATAGCCACTTGTTATCGATTTAAAGTTATCATCTCGGTTTCATGGTAAAAGTACGCGTGAAAAAATTTACGAATGGGGTTTCCGGCGTATCAATTTGTTCAAGTTAAGAAGAGCAATTACGTCGTGCCGCGAGATGCAAACGTTACGTTATCACGTTAAATAATGTGAGTCTACGTTTAACTTTGTGATCTAAACAACCGTATCGCTACGTTTTGACGTCACGTTGATAACGGTAATATTATCGGGCTACGTCGCGCGCTCGCGTACTGCACCGATCGACCTTCCCCTCCCTCCGTTTCATTGTTTTAACGTGCCGTCTGATTATATCGGAAAGTTTCGTACGCGTTTGATCGATCGGCGGAAAATATTCCGTTGCGGTCAACGGTTAACGAGGCACACCCTGTCGATAAATTTCACGCAACGGGGGAAAAGAACGCTTGGGGGCCGGGGGAAGAGGACGGGGGTGGAATAGTTCAATTTACGGTACGTCCGGTTGTTCGGATTAGGCAATTAAGTCTTTTTCTCACGGAAGGACCGATGTCTGACAAAAACAAACGTGGGGCGGTCACGTTTTGCGCGGTGCCCCGGTATTATTTATCGCGCTTATGACTTATCTCGCGTGTTTCTCAACAAGCTATTACGGCGTGTTACCGTCGAAAGCAGCGAAAGATGTGTGTTTAGTCCTGTTTCTCTCTGCTGTCAGCGTTTATATTACGTCAGTGGTTCTCAAATTGCGTCCCCCGGAGAAATGTCCGGTGTCTGAAAAGCTTGTTGTTCTTCAATTGGAAAAAGAAAAAAAAGGAACACAAGCAATAAAAATACTAATAATAATACGTTTATCCTGAAATGTGTACGCACGACGTCATGTATGCCTTACCATTTCCTAGATAGAAAATTACACGATTTTCAGCCTTACACGTACACACTTAATGTCGAAACCGTTATAATTATAGAGCTATTATAACCCTACCATTATAATCATTATAATCAAAGTGGGATCACTTATGCGATTTTCGACCTTATACGTACATGCGTAAGTTTAAAAGCATTAACCTTAATCTAAGGAATAGTAACGACGCCGTATATATAGTGTAGAATCGGATGAAAGAGCAAATTTCAGTGGGCTGTATTTTAAGAGCAAATAAATAGTGTTTTTCTATTTGTCGCTCGTTGGGGAATAGTGAAGGGGTGTGTTACGTTAGGTGTTAGATAACCGAAAAGCGTTGGTGGAGTGTAATCCTATTTGCAATTGTCGGATGACTTCATCATCGTGTCGCAACGTGTTCGCGACGAACGCGCCTTCGCACAGTCAGTAATTGCCGACTGTTTAGATGGTTTAGCGTCTCGAGCGTTGACAGTATCACTGTTAGATCTCCTGGCAGTGTCGTGCTGCTAGAATAATGGTCTAAACAATTCATTACAATTTATATATGCAGGCACATATGGTGGACAGCTCTGACGCATGAAATTAATCTTTTTTTTTTTTTGACGTTCCCTTCATACCTAATGCATTATATGATGCTTCACTAAATTCACGAACGCTTCTACAGAAAATTATTCGGGATCCCTCGCAGCTGGAAGCTCAAGCTCAATTAGTTTCCATTAAGCTCATCCCTACACATGCTGGGCATCCATGCATAAAATTCGTATATAGGTTATCCGAGAGGCCGATTGTTCGCAATTTGTTACGCAACTGCGTAATTATGCTTTCGTAATAAAAACGTGTACTCCGAATTGCGCTTTTAGACCGTACGAAGCTCGTAGATCACCTGTGTGCGTTCCTTTGATAACTCGCGCCATCGGTATGCGCTCTCGTTATATTCATTTCTCATCCGTCGAAGCATTCGCCGATTATGCGGGAGTGTCGTAAAACTCGTGTCACATCGCCGCAGGATCATTGGGCCCTATTACGAAATAAACACGCACGGTCCACCACGTTTCCGCAAGGGCATTATCCAATTAATCGGCGGGGAAGGATGAAGTCACCGTGCGATCGTCAGCCGACAGACGTCGAGCTACTATCGGAGCAGTCGTAGTCTTAATAAAGATATATTGCGTCCATTGAAACGCGTAGTTTGGGTGATTTTCTAAACATGGCACTCTGATATGACGTATGGGGAAGCGAAATGCTCTCTTTTTGTTCAGAGCGGCGTGACTACTGTCTAGTCTCCTCAATCGATAGAAGGAAATGCTACGACTAGCTTTTGACCTGCACCGGACTCGGCTGGTGCTGCTGAGCAGCATCAAACCAACGGTTAAGGACGATGCCCCAGAGCCCGTGACTAATTTCCAGTTCCGTTCACACTCCACACCTACCTTCTGTGCCGTGTTCAGAAAATCATCCCAAAACACGCGTACCAACGGACTCCGCAGTGGCGCGATGCATCAACTTCTCGGCCATTTTTGGCCACCTTATCCAGTGGTCAGACCCCAAGTGTAGCATACCGTTGGAAAGATTTCGATAAGGAGAATCCAATGAGACAGTAAAAATGAGGTTCATATTTGTTCTGATTTGAGGGCACTTCTTTAACGCTGCTCTCGCACGGCGTCGGGGTCCACGGGGTGCTTCGTCAGCGACAGCAGATGGGCAG